TACGCTGATCTAAAAATGTGATTTTAATAAATAACAGTTTACCATTAACCTTAGTATTCTTTAATGTGGATATACATTTAAATATTACAGGTCTCTTAACGATCATTTGCTGACGGGCCCCGATCTACTAAAATCGCTACCCGGGGTCCTGATGCGGTTCCGTCAACATCCAGTGGCTGTAACCGCGGATATAGCAGAGATGTTCATACAAGTAAAGGTCCAAAAAGAAGATCGCGACGCTCAACGGTATCTATGGAGAGGCTCCGCGAGGGGAAACCAACCGCCACAAGAATACAGAATGACGTCGCTCATCTTCGGAGCGACATCTTCCCCCGCGACGGCTATCTACATAAAGGACACAAACGCCAAAACATACCAAGAATTGAACCCGGCAACTTATGAGGCTATAGTAAAATGCCATTATGTAGATGACTATCTACAAAGTTTCAAAACTGTAGAAGAAGCGATTCGAACAACATGCGACGTTCGAGATATCAACAGAGAAGCGCACTACGAGCTGTGGCAATGGGCCTCAAATAGTCATAGCGTAGCAATAGCTGTGGGTGCCTCCGGATAATAGCCGAACGTATTACTCGAAGAAATGTTCGAGAGAGTCTTGGGACTGAAATGGAATCCCCAAGCTGACTATTTGTCGTTCAACTTGGGGCTAGAGAGACTTCCCGAGAACATCGTGGAGGGTAAGGAGCCTTCCAAGAGCGACATATTGAGAGTTATGTCTCTCTTTGACGCGCTTGGCTTCGCCGCGCCGATAACTGTACGCGCGAAGCAATTCCTTCAAGAAACGTGGCGTCGAGGTGTCAATTGTGACGATCATCTGGAAAACAGTCTAGCGGAACAGTGGCGTGAGTGGATGACACACCTTCGAGCTTTTGAGAACATCAAGATCGCGAGATTTTACCGCCTCTATAGCGACGCTGTAAGCATTCAGCTTCACACATTCGTCGACGCCAGTGAAACCTCATACGCATTATACTGGCGTATAACAACCGAAGACGGGAGCGTACACACATCGCTAGTGCTCGCCAAGGCAAGAGTCGTCCCGCTGAAGTTGACATCTGTACCTCGGCTAGAACTACAAGCCGCGGTAATGGGATGTCGCATGGCAGCAGCCGTGATAGAGGAGTATGACCAAAGGGTAAACGAGAGGATCTATTGGACAGACAGCCGCACCGTTCTCGCTTGGATACATAACGGTGCCCGCTCGTATCGGCTATATGTCGCGCACCGCATCGCCGATATAGAGGAAAACAGTAAAGTCGATGAATTGAGATGGGTGCCAACCAAGTTTTGGGCTCTGATGATAAGGGAACATATTATTTCTGAATTTCTCAATATTGAGATGTGCCTTTTGGAATGGATAAAACGAACTCTCGATATAAACATTCCCATAAATGGACCTCTGTTGAAAGAAAAATCAAAAGAGTTTGCTACAAAATTGGGAATCCAGAACTTTTCTGCTGGCAACGGCTGGCGTCATGATATAGCTTTCAAAAAAAAACAGCTGGGGAAAGTAAATCTGTGAACCAAACTGTGTGTAACCACTGGCTTGAAGATCTGCCAAATCTTCTAAAACCAGACGATATTTACAACGCGGTAAATATTTACGTTTATAGGCGAAAAATGCCATGGAGGAAAACAAAGTAAAAAACGCCTTACACTTCTTCAGTGTATAAACATGAGTGGTATGGACAAACTTCCACTTATTATCGCGAAATCAAGGCAACCTAGATGTTTTAAAGATGTCAAGATTCTACCCGTTGATTATGCCAACAATACAAAGGCTTGGATGACCAAGATATATTTAGATATAGAAAAAAGTTAACAAACAAGTGAATATAAACAAAAAAAAACTGCTATTACACTACGACGTCATAAAAAGCTGAAATTCTAAGTAATCCGATATAGTGAAACAAGGTAAACCCACATTTACTTACAAATGTAACAAGCAACACTTACAAAGTATCCTTCAGAGTTGATGGAAACTAACGAGTGATCGCTATAACTTAGTAGAAAGTAACAAAGATAATGAACAGTTACCTGCCAGCATGTCATTTATATCTACTTTAAAATCCTTTGATGGGGAGAAGTAGACAGTTTTCCAAGAACAGTTGGATTGTTCCTTCATTGTTAATGAAGTGTCATAAAAAAGATTCAACTATTAATCAGAAAACACCCACAGTGTATTAAGTTTTATATTATTTGTGTGTACCTAAAAAACACATAAATTGTAATACATAAAACGAAATGCTTCAAATTGCACAGGTAGATTTTTTAAATAGTCCTAATGATATTAATATTTTTTTTTATTAAAATCAAACACTATGTGCTTCTCTTTTACGCAGAGTTCGAGAGAGTACTAACAGCATCCTAAGAGAGCTAAGTGACAAGCTAGACTGCCCGATCATGGGACATTGGTGGTGCGCACATATGCCCATAGCCGGTATCAGGTGCCTAAGATCACTTTAGTTTAGTTTCTTCTTTTCTTTCTGTGTGTAATGGATTATGAAATTCGAATGAAAGTCGCCGCTCCTTCATTAGTATAAATGTGACATTTACAAGATAACATATTTAGTTAATAAACACACCAACTTCCGTCCAAACCACTTAGACCTTTACTAATATAACCGTCTCCATTAAGAGACTAAATTGATTATTAAATACTCCACATAAGAGCATCATTTTCCCAACCTAACCCAAAACCCAACAAAACTCACCACTCAGCCAAACATTGGATTTTTGAAGTAAAATTGTATTTTGCATGTAATGTTTATATAAATAAAATATATATTTCAAAACGACAACGAAGGTGAGAGGTTGTTTCAAGCAGCCTTGGCTTACAAACTCACCATAACAAATACTAATTTTCAAAACCGAGAATCACACATAGTAACTTTTCATAGTAGTAGATTCAAAACATTTCTATTTTAGTCGCTGCCTGGTATACTGCATTTATTAATTTTGTTTGTGTATTTATGGCTAAAATTGAAATGGGCGGGACACTTGATGCGAATAGAGGATGGCAGATGGACAAAGAACATTGTGGACCGGGCCATGACCTGGAAAAAGAACAAGAGGAAGACACAAAGCCCGGTGACAAGATGACATAATAAAAATAGCAGGGAAAGGATGGACTAGGGCAGCTACAAACAGGGAAAAATGGAAACAAATGGAGGAGGCCTATACCCGGCAGGAGTCATAACAATAATTTACTTTTTTATGCTATTTATATAACACACATATAAACAATTGTAATATGACAAATAAAGGCTTATTATTATTATTACACTCAAAACCCAGATTTACTATCTGTTAGTCCGAAAATCAAATGTCATTAAATTAACAATGCCAAAGTTATACCCAGTGAGGTTGTAGCCCCACAGCATAAGCACATAGTATAAGACCTTATAATAAAAATTTCCCTCACATAAAACAAAAATATGTGTGGTTTCAAGTGTACTAAATGATAGAAAATTATCAAACAATGCTCTTTTGCATAGGGAATTGACACAAAACCGTTTGTGCAAGACAATAGTTTTAGTAAATAAATTGTGTAGTAAATAGCTTATCCAATATACAGTTCATTCGAAAATAAATAAACAGCAATAGTAGTGAGGTAGAGCGGCTTAAGACACCCACATGTTATTACGCCCCCGCAGCACATTTAAACAGGCTTGGGTGAGATTCGATTGGGGAATATTTCATTCTATCAGAAGTGTGGAACCAGAAGCCCTACCTCCTACAGTCTAATCACCTAAAGCAAGTCTTTTATTTACACACCATCAGAGATAGGTGTGCAACCTGCACACTTTTCAAATACAAAACTAAAGTAATTATGAGACTGGCATGTTTAAACGAACATGTCCCAATTAAAAATAAAGAAAAAAATCTGAATTACAAATGCAAGCGGAACCAGCACTGCCTTTAATCATAATTGTCTGCAGAGCCTTTTCCTGTCATCTTTTTTTAAATGTGATTTTTTTTATTTTAAACCAAGGAGTCATTGATGATTTTATGGAATATTTTATTTAACAGAATTCAGAAGACATGCTAGGCCAAGATATAAGACTGGATCAATAAGATTGCCTTACTGTCCCTATAAGCACCGCTACACCAAAATATATCTTCCATATCTGAAGTCAAATTACAGAAGTAAATCTATAACTTAATATAACAAATAGTTTCAATGTTCAAATCAATATTTTAGTACATACTAAGATAAATACTAGCCAAATAAAATCTTACTTTGTAATTCAATAACATAAAAAAACATGGCTATTGAATTTTCAATTACCACAGAAGACAAGCACATGTGCTCAGTGGTTTTAAATAAATAAGTAAATAAATGGCGGCAATGGAGGCAAAATAATGGTGTCAATTGACACAACCACCTGTATTCACTAAAATAGTGAGGTGATTGCTTATAGATGTCTGCATTTGCAGCAGCACAGCCTACCTTTACACATTTCACTTTGACAAACAGAACTTTATTAATTTCCCCAAAGGTCCAGGGGACTGGTGTCCATACTTGGGTACCCTGCATGATGAAACACACAGATATACCCCCTTCCTATTAGTCTTCAAACTATAAAATCACTCTTGCATTTGGAATAGAATGAACAGAAGAACAAACTTTGACTATGTTTTTTAAAAACATAATGCATATAATTTAATAACAATACAATAAAATATTGCATGTTTTCTTTATTAATACCAAAATGGTGAGCAATCAACAACATTTAGAGAAAAAAATAATGTTAGACGACTACAAAACATAAGCCAAAGTCAAATAAAAACAAAGCTGACATGTTAAAAGCATGACTAAAACCACCACAATATGTGGCATATAGATAACTTTGCTTTTGCAACTTGTATAAGTTCGAAAATGTTACATTTCTCTTTGCTTTAAAATGTTAAGTTATTTCTGAGTAAAACCAATACCAATAGCAATGTTTCATAATAATCAAGTTATGGACCAGATCAATGCTTAGATAATAGCATTACACCTTTTCACAGGTTATGTCCAGACCTCAAAATTGGTTATGCGTAAATTCAAGTTTGTATTTTCTTTTAAAATATAAAGATTCGCTCCCAGATTAGAATCTGTTATAGAAGTATGAAGAAATAAAACTTAATTTCCTACCAGATAACGAACAAAAAACAAGTAAAAGTTAACAATAACGAAATGAAGTTGCTTCTACTCGAATAAGTAGTAATAACCTAATAACGAATCACAATCCCGTTCGACAAGAGCAAGCCGGCCCAGGCAGAGCAGAGGCACATACAAAAAACAACTGACAATTTGACTTTGAGCTTTGACATTAATTGATAAATGTGAATGTTGCCTATAATGTTACTCTTTAATATAACTTTCGCCCACGACTTCGTCTGCGTAGTAGAAAAAAAAGTAAGTAGCCTATTAGTGCTTTCAAATAATCCTCTATATCTTTGCCAAATTTAGTCGAGATCCGTTCAGCAGTTTAGGCTACAAACTACACACACATCCATCTATCCATCTGAACTTTCGCATTTATAGGATTAGTAAAACAATTTGACAGAGATAAAATTAACTGTCCCTAAAGACAATAGGTTTCGCAAAGGTAGGTAATATAAAAACCATGAACATTGTACAAGCCAAGTGAAATTGCTCCTATGTTTTCATCGTACTCCGGCACAAGCATGCGTCGATCTATTGTAATAATAGTTTACTAAACATACAGATTTAAGTCACTGTTTTTCTTTAAATAGTCCTAATGATCACATTTGGATATTTGGTTAATATTATTCCAACGAATCATTTAAACAAAGTGCCGATTTCAGAATATTTCTTAGTTTGTACATTACAACTTTTATACTCTATGACAGTTCTTTTCCAGCAAATTTTTTGTTTGTTCTTTGTTTGTTCGTACAAACTTCATTCATGTCATTTACATTCGTTCGTTCGTTTTGAATTTACGTTAAATTAAAATTGAACCATCCATTTTAAATGGTGCATTTTGCAACTCATCAATTCGAACAAATTGAAGTGCTTAATTTTTACTCGATCTGCATTCAATTGAGTGTGTCTCGTAGTTATTACCGATTAATTCGTAATTAACGTGCTGTATTATACATTGTTGGATGTACAAGTTACAAGTTTCTTGAAAGTTTACATTTGGGTGAAAAAAGCTATTTTTTGATTTCTTCATTTATCCATGTGGTATTTTTATGATATTGCTGACTTAGGTAATGGCGAAGTCGTTGTCTAGCCTGTTTTTGGATTCTTTCCCAAAATGTGTCTTGTCACGTGTCGAAAAAAAATTTCTAGTCTTACAAAACCCGATTGAAGATAGGCTAATCACTAATAGTTGTCAGATTTTGAACAAATTAATAAATTATCTATCGTTTTGTTGTGAAATGATTCAGATTTATTTGGTCGCTGCATTTTATATGAAAGTTACTTGAAAGTTTTCTGGGCAATTGTGGTTTGAGACGTTTAATTTGCATAAAGTGTTTTGTAAAAGTCGGTGCAGTTGTGATGTGCTTAGCCGGATGGAACAATAATCCATATCCAGGTTTCCATCCCTGCCATTACCAATGTTTTTAGATTTTCGAACTTCCTATCCGACGTTACAAATTTACAAAACAAACATGTCGGCAAAGAGAATTAAAAGATACGGGTGAAGGCAACCAACTCGCAATGGGCCATTGTTTACTGTAGCTAACTCTCCTAATTCGGGTAAGCCTCCGAGCCTCCTGATCTGGTAGTTTGGGTTGTTTTGTTAGTAATGGTGGTCATTGATGCAGTTTCATATAGTATCTTACGCTAAAGGTTTTACAAAACCAATTTTTATATAACATTTAATAAGATATGAGCTGTTTTTGTCATGGCTGTCTTATGTACTTTTATTGGTCATTCTTATGGTGTAAAAAACCCTCAAAAATATGTGTGCGGTTAACTACCCCACCAACATGGGTTAAGTTGAACAGAGCTTGCATTTTGAGGCATACAAGTAAATATGACAAAAGGTTTAGTGGAAGACATTTTTGTATTCTGTATACAAAGTAATTTATTTATATATTTGAAAATAAATTATCTGCAATAAAGTTTTGAAAGTTATGTACATAGAAAACTTTGTTTTTATTCTATGTATATGCAACAAGCTATATAACTTAAGTGGTATAAGACTTTAAAATGTGCATTTTACCCTCTGTTGATTGTGTCGGCAATGCATCAAAATATGAATGTCTAGGCAGAGGTTGCTCCACTATTTTAGCAAATTTTGGTAACCGCATGTTTGTTACTTTATACAATGAAAAGAAATGTTTATTTATTTATTAGACATATCAACTTTTGTTATTGTGGTTGTCACATAGATTTACATTGTTTATCTACAGGATCTGGTCTCTTTTAGAACATGATAGTAGATATGGAAAATGTAAAAAGAAAAAATATAAAATTACTATGTTACAGTAGTAACATTTCCCAATATATTTAAATTTCTTTCAATTCCAATGGCTTTTAGCTGTTGTTTTAACTCAGATAAGCCTGAAACTAAAATTTTCTGAAAATTTTGAAAAAACTTACATTGTTTAGTTTATTAGATCTTATGCAACATAAAAAAAAATTATGAAAAAAAAATTAAGTGTAAGGCTTTCAGGGAAACAGCCGTCCTGTAGGACAGTAGGATAATAAGAGGAAATAAAAGACCATTTACGACAAAACAGAATGTAACCCAAAAGTGTAGTTTATTAGATAACTATTCATTATATTACCCATTGTTATATGTAATTTACTAGACTAACACTAATTATGAATGATATGTTTCGAAACACTTGACACACACTCCAACATCACATTCCTTGCAACATGTCAAACATTTTTTGTGACGACAGTGTGTTTGCTTCGATTGTGGAATAACCAGATGATTCATTTGGTCTTTACGACTATCAGCATGTTCATGATGGGAGGGTCGGCTGGGCCCTCTTTTGGCATTTTTTTTGTTTGATTCAATCAAAGCAATTGCTACCCTTCTGCGAAAGCCAAGATGATCCAGTTTTTCATGATTTATTTTATATAACTGCCATGCATTATGTTCTGCAAGATCAATCATCTGTGTGAGCAACGGCATGTACCATTTCTTACCTCGTATACCAATTCGGTAATGTGAAATATTTTCATCAGACCGATCCACTCCTCCCATATATTTGTTATACGAGTACAAGACCACAATGGCTTTTTTTTCACCTGTTACATATTGAACTTATTTCCTCTAAGTTTTTTAATATATTTCAAATTAATGGGTGTTCCAAGCCATGTGGGTCTGAACTAGGTTGTTCTCAAGGATTATTATCTTTTTCCTTACAGTTCAAGTGAAATCTTCATCGGTAATTTTTTTTATTTTTATAGGTGTGAGGTTATTACCTCGCTAGCATTACCATGGTAAATAATAGAAAGAAGCTAGTCTTTTTAACGCGGCGATTGTAGTCATCATGTATCAACCATTTGAATAAAAAATGCTAATAGAATTAATATAGGACACATAGGGCAAATGTTGAAATTAACTTTGTACAAATGACCCAGACATATTGGCGCTGCGTATGACCTCATGGGATCAAGACTACTTCTAGTGAGTTGGTAATACAAATTTTGCTAAAAAGGGCAGAGGTGGCGGTTTGCGATCTTAACCTTGGAAGACGCGGGTACATCGGCGGGTGTCAGAAGGGCCTAGACACCTCCGGTGCGACAACTCCATACTTCTGGAGCTGTTTTGGGGACCTCATCTACTACGACCTCAATGCCCACGTCTAAAAATCTGCTCGTTTGCATTAGGAACTCTGGAATAGAGATATTCCGCATTCTAGAGCTCTCGTGTTATTAATGATACAGTGGTCCTTATATAGAGGTGCTTTCGGTTACGGCGCGCCGGCGTCGGTGCGCATTCAGCCAATACTGCCTTACGGCGATCTGCTTTGTCAGTATATATATATATATATGGAATATGTTACATTAAAATCTATATTATGTATTAAGCGTGGTATCTGTCAGGTGACAATTTTGGCAATTCTGCTTGTTTACACTTTTATTTAATTGAAAATGGGCTCTACCATTTCAGAGGACAATGGGCATTATTGTATGGGTTGCGTCCCAATGCTTGTAACATGTTGCGACTAGTTTAAACATGTTTTTATAAATAATTCAAGTTTTTATTATAATTGTGTGCAGGTCAAAAGTTCTGGCGTGTAAATGATAAAAGAGTTTAATGTGAATGTGAAAAATTTCACATTTTTTTTGAATTTGAAGTACGAGTATTGGAGGGGCCTGGATTATTTATATCAAATACTTCTTTTGAACAATTCATAATATTGGAATCATGGGAATCCAAATCTAATCTAGCCCTGGAAGTGCCAGGGTTATTAAAAATGAGCTCTGAGTTTTCCTTTTCATTTATTGCTACTTCGGAAAATATGTTTTCCGAGGCAGAATTTGATACTGAAGATAAATTATGATCTGACAGTGGTCTTTGATATTGTTGGGTGGGTTTGTTAATTAGCTTCCAATTGGGTGATATGAATGTTAGCTTCCCTGCTGTGTTTGCCTTAAAACGATTTCGTTTCTTCGTATGCATATTTGAAACTGTTGAAAAGGATCTTTCTACAGCTGCAGAAGTAGCGGGAACTGATAAAAATTTTATGGCAATCTTACCCAATAGTCGGGTCGATGTTAAAAATGAATAAAACGAGATGTGTTTGAGATATAATGTCAAATATCTCCCTTCCGCTTTTTTGCTCTTTATTCAATGCTTTATAAAAAGTGTTACAGTGATCGGATTTAGTTCAAATATGCGCCGTTTTGTTCGATAATCTGTTTCCATCTAGACGGCAACTTCATAATACCTCTCTCATGCCGGCTCATGTCTAAACGGCTTGATAATCGCTCGTTTGGTTCTCCCGTTCTTATTTTAATTAAAAAAGCTCCGAGAACAGTTTTAGGACGTTGCGAGCGTTGGGATATACGAGGGTGAATCAAAAAATTCTTGGAATCAATGTTAAAAAATGCAAAGGTTTAAATAATAATATTTAATTTTTCTACATAATCTCCCTCCAATGCAATGCAGGAACAACACGCCCAACGACAGTTTTCCACGACGTTTTTCTTTAATCGCTTCACGCACTTTTGGGATTAAATTTGCATAATAGGGTCCAGTAATCGTCTGGCCTTTTGGCATGTAATCAATAAAAAGGATTCCTTCACTATCCCAGAACACAGAGGCCATAACTTTACCAGCGGTAGGAGCAACTCGAAATTTCTTGATGGATGGAGAGAATGGCCGTTTCCAAGACATGCTTTGTCTTTTAGTTTCAGGATCAAAATGGTGGACCCACGTTTCATCCATTTTGCTGGCGGTTCGACTATAAGCCCGCTGAGGCCTCAGATCGACTTGACGTCAAAAATGGCCTTTCCTTCGGGTGTCAGGTCTAAGTATACCTGTACTAAGTCTAACGGAGCTTTTATTCCCATTCTCGTCATGTCAAATACGCTAATGACGGGGAATTTCTGAACTTTAAGAGACTGCGTGATCTCTTCTACCGGAATCTTCTTGGGGATGCGTTTAATAACTACCCTGAGTATACGCTCCTCAGCAAGCGTATATGTATGATAATATACCTCCTTTTCTTGGAGGAATCTGGTAACAAACCTAAAAGCATCGGCAGTCTCTAGCTGCATCTTGATGCCCTGAGCCGTCGCTGTAGCGACTACTTTAAATTTGTTGGATAAGGCCGATGGGATCATCGGCCATTTGTCGCGCACTTGGATGATTGGGGTTGGGCGTTTGTCATGCGGCACGCTGGCCGCTTCCGAACGTTGGGCTGCTGGGACGGGTGTGGGTGCGGCCGACTTAGGCCGAGGGGCGGGAGCAGCCGAGCATGGGCTGGGATGGCCCGGCTTGGAGAGCGGGGATAGGTTTGTGTGCCTTTTGGGGCACATGGGATGAGGAAGTTGAGGTCGTGGGGGAAGAGCACTTCTTACGCTTTTTCTTATTTTCGACGGTTACAAAACCGTCGTTAGAAAATGAGGGTAATGCGGCGTTCGATTCCATATCGGAATCTTCTAAGGACGAGTGGGCTTCGGAGCCCGACGTCAACGATCATCGACGTAGGACGCGAGGTATCTTGCAGCTTTCCTATGACGGCTAAAAAAATCTCTTTTAAGAATATCCAAAACGGCCTTAAGTCCGGCCTTGGCCATCTTAGCGATCTATTAAAACCAAACCAAAAACGCTGGAGTAGCACAGATTAAAATGTCTCTGGTTTGAACACATCCATTTTTCGCATGTTATGCCGTTTGTAAATATAATAAGGCCAAGATCAATTGACTTTGTTTTGAAAATATTTATTTTATATAATATCTCGTTTATTTCAAAACTTTATGCACAAAATTAAATACAGATGTTTAAACCGTTATATTAAAAATAAAATATGTGAACTTTTAGCAGGCATACCCCAAATACACGAATCAACCGCAAGTTCCAAAACATGGAAATTATTTCAAAAATGTATGTATGTTTACATTCATGTATCGCTTCTTCAAAGAAGTCCACTCATTTTGATGACCTCAACCTTTGCGTTAGCGTAAATTTGTGATTCTCCTCCTTTAGTTGAGCACATTTACACATTCTTTTTATTTTCAGTGTCATGCAACCGCTAATGAAATGTTTTCGATCGAAATGAAATTTCTATATTTCGCAGCATTTAGTTTGAAGAATTGTTTGTTGACATTTACTATCATTTACATTTAGGTTTAAAATTTTTCGGAAGCCAAATTGTATTACATTATAATACATAAATATTGACAAACATTTGAGACAAAACTTTTTAATCATAACATATGCCTTTATTTTCTGGAATATTACCGTAACTCGTCGTTACCGTTCTTGTTTTCGATGGTTTACACTTTTTTTCCACTTCGACCACGTCGGAGTCACCATAAATGTTGATAATGTTGGTTTTGGTAGAACTTTGGATTAAACTGGTAGAAGAGGGACAAATATGTACTAGAAACTTATGGATTTTCGGCGGACGCCCGTCCGCAGGTTTTTTCTTCTTTTCTTATTATAGGTCGCTGAGTGAGAGCCTCCCGGAAGCGTGGTGTTGCCACAGGCGGCAATAATTGTAATTTTCTATCTTCTACTATTCTACAGGGTACGCCAGAGAAACTTACTTATTTGAAAGCTCAATAAAAAAAGTACTTCAGTTATTGTTTTATTTTTTTTTTATTTGAGAATACAATATCCCAATTTTTTTTATGCAGTCTTAAAAAGACATCGGATAAATGGCGACCTCCATTACGCATACCTTGAAGGCTCGCGAGCCTTAAGAGCTCGAGCTCTTAAGGCTCAGTAGCTTCGACTCGGAGCTCGAGTTTCGGGTTCGAAGCTCATTTCTCACAACACTAGCTATGGTCCGTGGTCGATCGACATAAACCAGAGATTTCAAATAACCCCATAAAAAAAAATCGCATGGAGTCAAATCTGGAGAGCGTGCCGGCCATTGGAGAAGGCCTCTGAGAGAGATGAGGCGGTCGGGGAAATGTTGTCGCAACAAATTCATTTAGTCTCGTGCTGTGTGTGTTGTGGCTCCATCTTGCTGAAACCACACGTTCCTAACGTTCATTTCTTCGAGTCTTGGAAGAAAAAAATCCTCGATCATGTTCTTGTAACGAGCTCCATTCACGGTAACTGAGCGTTAGTTTTCTTCAAAAAAATAAGGACCATTTATTCCCATTACCGACACCGCACACCAGACAGTAACTCGCTCACAATTAAGTGGCTTCTGGTGAAGCTCACGCGGATTTACATAACACCAATAACGCATGTTTTGCTTGTTGACGCATCCGGAAATGTGGAAGTGAGCCTCGTCACTGAAAAAAACGACTGCGTTTTCAGGCAAGTTGTCAATCAGCATTTCACATGCATTTTGACGGGCAACAAAATCGCGTTCAGTTAATTCTTGCACAACAGCCAATTTATAGGGATGAAATTGAAGGTCTTCATTGAGAATTCGTCGAACCAGTGCTATCAGAAATTCCCATAGCAGCTGCGTGTTTTTTTTTGAAAATGGGAACTCCGATGTTTTTAGTTGAATGTTATTTGATAACTCTGTATGAAATTTCCAGGTGTTTGTTTTTCAACAATTTTTTTGTGTAGTAGAACTGCCGAAATGGTTGTACTTTGTATTTCGTTTGATGCGTCTTAATGTTTGTTGCTGGTATTCTTCAAGAAAAATGAAAATCACTTACCGAAAATACCACCACTCTCACACTAGACCAGGTCTACATCGTGAGGGTTTTATACTGTACCGAGTACATTTTAACTACAGACTATCCTCGAATTCGTCGTAGGACAACGATGCAAGCCATTCTGATACTCTTTACCCCAATTGTTTTGCTTGTTTTTTATGTCACAGTTCATTGCCACTTTGTTGTTTGCAAAAATTTTCGCCAAAGGACAAAGGCGTTGCGCAAAGGCAGTATTAACAACTGGCATGTTAAGTCGGTAGATTTCGGTAGTCAATAGGAGCAGTTAATGTCAAGCGGTGCTTTTGCAATGTAGTTTTTAAAACATATAGCTTTCTTACGCTAAGAACATCAGCTTCTTTATATAGTTGGTTTGTAGAATTCAATTCCGAAGGCAGATCATAATATACATGGTAACTATACTCAATTGTGGGCGTGCGTATGTCGGAGATAATGAAATAACAATCGCGTAACATTAGAAAACCATCCTTAGTTGACTATCATCTTATATGAAAACTGCACAACACGATCTAATTATATTGCAAACATTTACAGAGATTAACCAATTGATTTTATAACAACAAAGCGCATTCCACCATTCAATGAAAACTCATCAGTCATTCGATCGCCGCTTGACAGCTATTATGCACGATGCACATTCAGACAGTGCTCAAAATTATTATTGGATACTAACTTTAATAGTTAAAAAAGGAACAATCATTTCGCCCTGTTATAGTTATTATCTGTAGATCGTACTACAAGTCTGTTAAAAGCATCTCTAGGGCCTGACAAAGTAACGGTGTCTACTATGGCAGCGCTCGAGACACGGAGATGGAGATGAAATATGAGTATTTATGTCAATACAATTGTGGAACATGACATTTGTGGCATTGTCCAGGGAGAGCGCTCTTCCGAAGCGGCTCGACGACTAGGCCACTAAGGCCGCAAATCGACTTTAGTCGAAAAATGCCTTACCCTCGGGAGAGAGCTAAAGTTGAACGTTTATCATGTCCATGGGAATTCTCGTTCGTCTATTTTTCGTCCCATGAACCATCAATAACGGGATATTTTGCCTTTTTAGTGACTGTCACCTCGTTGACGGATATTTCCTTCGGGATCCTTTTGACGACCACCCGAAGGGTACGCTTTTCGGCGAGCGTATATGTATGATAGTAAATGTTTTTCTCGCGGAGGAACTTAGTGACACCGCGATAATCAGCAACTGTTTCCAGTTGTATTTTAATACCTTGGTTGGTCGGAGTAGTTATAAACTTAATTTTGTTCGATAGAGCAGATTCTATCATTGGCCATTTGTCCCTAGCTTGAACATAGATTGGTGGAGGCCATTTGTCTTTTGACGCGCGGGCCATCGTGAGATTTAGTTTAGCGGGATGTGTCTAAGAGCATCCGTGGGCTTAAGCGTGGGCTGGGAAGTCGTAGGGGCCGCGATGGAGTGGGACGTCTCAGGTTTTGGTTCTAATAACGGTCTTTGTATCTTTAGTGGCACTGGAGACGAAGAGGCAGCAGGGGACGCAATTCTCCTGCGTTTCTTTTTTTTGTGATGATGGCTGGAAAAGTTTGTCCAAGTATCTTGTCTTTGCTCCAATAATAAGCTAATTTCGGCAGCTTTACTACGCCCATAAACAAGACCAGCCCAAGAAACTGTTTTATTTCTGTCTTGTTTGTTGGCTTCCATGAATGAGACCTTGATCCAGGCTTTGTTTGCCTGGCTGTGATGTTTTGACTTGCGAACAAATTTGTCTGCTCAGCAATCATTTCAAGAATTTCTTCAGGCACCAATTGATCATACTCGTACGGTCAGGGCCAGCTTCTTTCAGCAAATTAGAATATGGAGGTTTCATACCCTCGAACTCGGTGAAAGGAATCACTGATGGCTGTCGTCTTTTTGGCCTCGACCATTTTAAGGAAATACGGTCATTTTGCGATTATTGTTTATAGAAGCGATCGAGAAAGAAATTTTTAACGCGTTGATTTGCTTCCATTCATCCTGCGTAAATTCGAAGTCCTCCATAGCTAAATCCCTATCTAAAGGCTCGCACATTAACTATTCAATAAGAAAATGATGACAGCTAAGATAGTAGGAACTTAATTGATCTAGTAACATACGTTCTATCACCGTATGCGCGAGCGCACTACTGGTGTAGCGGGTGGCCGGCGCGGCGCCGGATACCGGAAAATATATTTTCTGTATTTGTGCGCCATGGGGTGCACCGGTGACCTCAGCTATGTATTTGACTGTAACTATGTAACATAATAAACAAATTACGACCAAAAGTATTTGTGCAGAATGCACACCTATCGCCGTTGTACTTGCAAATAAAAGACTTGATGATTTTCACTTGTAGGAGGTAGAGCTTTTACAGATACATTTACAGATTCACCGGGCTTGAAGTGGCCGAGCGCAGATGGCGCTTAGCCTAAACCTCGTTTATGCGTAACTAAGCTCGAGGACACCCTCAGGAGCCTCGGCATGAGCCGTTACTTCGTTATTTTTACCGGATTGGGAGGCCACCGAGCTCTTAGATTGCTTCGGTGGACGCTCCATGGAGTGACTAGGCACAAGGGCCCCCGAGAGGGGACCTCGGCTTGGGCTGTCACTCAATACGCGTTTAGCATTCCGATTCAAGGGCGCCCGAGAGGGCCGAACCTCGACTTGATCGGTTGCTGCTATCTGATTGATATTAATATGTCTAACATTACTACCACTTCGGAAAGCGTTAGCGCTGGGAGAAGTGGCGGAAGAAACTCCAGCAACGCTTCTATCATTGATAGGAGAAAACCTGCCTGCTATGAGGCCGTATCGCGGGAATGATTGCCGTAGTCGACAGCGACTACGGCGTGTTGTCTGTTTGCGTATATGTTTAATCCTAGCGTGAGCGATTGTTATTGCATCGTCTTGGAAGTCAAGAACGTGCCTAGGTCTGCGGTGATCACGTCGAAATTTACCGAGCGCGATTGGGTTGTAGGTGGCGGCACCTACAACTAACGAATTAGGATGACCGACGGCAGAGTCAAAATAACGACGCGACGCCAGCTTTAGGTGTTGGGCTATGGTGGGTAAGTCCAGGTTTATGTGAAGATCACTATTGCGCAT